TGTTCTCTGTCACTTGGCATGGAAGGCACTGAACCAGTGTTGGGTGTTGGGGTGCGGTTGCCTCTTGGCCCCCACACCCAGATGGAACCTCTGGACCAGGTTACTGCCACAGTGAAGCTCCAAGGAACAACTCTTCGCTGTGTCCGAGCAGGTATCCCCTCCCAGTGACCATGCAAGCTGTGGGCACTGGAGCCCCTGTTTAGGGGAGGTTCCGATGGCATTGAGGCCCCAAGGCCCAGGATGTAGCTGTCACATATTGTCAGGGCTGCTGCTGCACAGGCAGAGGACTGGATCTTTTGACCTGGACCTCAAAGTCTCTGGGCCCCAGTTCTGACATATATGGTTTAAGACCCTCTGATGACCAGGAAAGGGAAACTGCCTGTCACTGAGCCATCCTTTGGGGGTGCCCTCATCCAACCACCCCAACCAACGGAGCGCTCCTCCCCCAAGCTGTTCTTGCCTTCTTTATTCTGTAATTTTCCTCTCTTATTTATTGACTCCTCCATTGGAGGCTCAGCTCCGTGAGCACAGGACCTCTGCCTTGGTCTCTGCTTGGAACAGTGCACACGGCGAGAGCTCAGTCGCTATTTGCTGAGTGAACAGAATGACGTTAATACTGTGAAAATAATAAACCGGTATCATTCTCGAGCCCTGAGCCCTGAGATTGCACTCCTTTGAAGCCCTTCCACCATGACAACCATTCTCAGAGGCTTGTGTAGGTTTCATTCTCTGGAATGAAACCGTGAAGGGAAAGGAACTGAAAACTGAAGCTAGAGGAGGATGCGTTCCCCTCTGCATTGGAAGACAGCTTCCCCCTGGCCCCCACCAGGCAGCCTGTGGCTCTCAGGTGGCCCTGCTGGGTAAAAACGGTGGAGCTACAGACTTGAAGGCAAGAAGGTCAGAGTAGGCACCTTCCCTCAAGCCTCCTTCCACTCCCAGAGGCCTGGAAATTTCCATGAGGCACGGGGAAGGTGGCTGAGTGGGGACCTGGCGGGCCTGTCTCAGCACTGCTGGGCCCAGTGCTGAGATGAGAGCAGCTCATCCCCAGGGTGGGAATGGAGGGATGGCTGGGGCTGGAGGGGTCTGAGGAGCCAGAGTGAACTGAGATGGGGCCTAGAGACGAGAGAACAGGCTGGGAGCTCATGAGCCACCGTGAATGTCCACCGAGACCTTAGAAGACTCTAGCCTAGTTTTGCGCCAGGCTCCTTTCTCTCCTGCCACAAGGCCACCTGTATTGGGCTCTGCCTTGTGTCTTCTTCACCTACCTCTGCCAGCTCCTGCAGGAAAGACGGGACTGACCCCACCTCAGCTGTCCCACACAGCTCTTGCTTTCTGCCCCAGGGCCTCCAGAGTCATTGTGGGACAACTGCAGGTATCCGCTTACCCTCAGTCCCGCCCTGCCCAGCAGTGTGAGGGTGTTGCCACGGGCACACCCGCTCCTTGGAGGGTCCCCGTGGACATGAGTTCCCATTGGCAAAGTGGTGACCAGCTCAATAACCCACCTTGATTTTTGGCTCTCTCGGTTTCCCTGCATCAAATTTCTCTGTTCCGTGTTCCTGGTTCCTGGTCATGGGCTCTGATTTCTGGGGACTCAGGCCACAAAGTCACCTGAGCCTCTGTGCTAGAAATGGCCCCCTGGAACTTGGTGTCCCCTCCCTGGCCCCCTCCACATTTCCCTGGGTTGCAGGGGCTAGAAGGCCCAGACCCCCTGACTGCAGAGAATTCAGATGCAGTTTAGAGGGAGGCTCTTTGGGAGAGAGTGGAAGGCAGAAGGGGAGTGGGGGCTTCCCTTCCTGTGGCATGGCAGCTGCTGGGTGGGATCTGGCAGACGTGAGTTTTTGCCGGCGCAGCATGCTGTTTCACTTCCTTGTCACCAGTTTAATGGATGTGCAACTCAGACACTGACAATAATTTCCTTCAAGGTAGCAGCTGGGGTGGTGTGACCATGAAGCTAGGTGTGCCCTAGTTTCCATTCTTCCAAACTTTTATACGTTTACTTTCCTACTTTCAATCTCTTTCTGGGATTTCCCTTGTGGTTGAGTGGCTAAGACTGTGCTCTTAATGCAGGGGAATCTGGGTTCAGTCCCAGGGAACAAGATCCCAAATGCCACAACCAAGACCTGGTACAACCAAGTAAATAAATAAATGATAAATGTTTAAAATCTCTTTTTGCAGAGAGACTTAGTGTTTTCTAGATCTGACTACTGATCCATCACTGGCTTGGCTTCCTCTCCTCTACCATCTACCACACCTCCAGGCTCAGATAGAGGGAATACAGAAGGCTATACACTTACCCAAAGAGGTGTCCAAAAGGAGACTGAGAGTCAGATTCTGTTGGTTGCCTACTCAATAGCTATCTTCCTTTATCAGATCAATCCTTATTCCTTATTAGATCAACTTGCCTCTGAAAGCCTGGTCTCTCTTACAGCCAGGGCTTGCATGTATGACCCAGTCTTGGCCAAGGAGCCTGAAGAGAGTATATAGAAAGTAGGTTCTGGGATAGTTTATTTTCCTGACAAATAGAGGCACACAGGAAGCACTTTCCTCCCTGCCAGTGAATGGGGTCCTGTGAGAATGTGATGCTTGGAGCAACAGCAACCATTTTGCAATCAAGGGGCAATAAGTCTGAGGACAAAAGTCAACATATTGAGGACAGTAGAGTGAACAGGTAGGAAACACCTAGGTCTAAGTTGACATTTATTGAGCCTCTGAATTAATCTTGGAGCTCCCTACTTCTAGTGGGTGTCACCCTGGCAGGACTCCTTCCCTCTGCACTACATAGAGGCTGGCTCAGAACTCTTCAAAGTTTTTTTCCATGCCAATATGCTGATCTCAGAGACACTGGGACCTCTGGGAGCTGGGCTGGGACTATGGTGAGGCAAGTGAGGCACTGTTTTTGGATGCAAAACTTAAGGGGGTTGCAAAAAACTCAGTGGTAATCAGGATAAGTATTTTAATACAATATTTAAAAAAATCAAAACTAATGTCAAAGCACAAAATGAACAAAAAAAATTAATCAAGATTTTGAAATAAAGACAATAAAGATTCAGGGTCACCAATTAGGTCTGGTTTTAGGTTTCTGTACAGGGGGAAATGGCAACCCACTCCAGTATTCTTGCCTAGAGAATCACATGGACAGAGGAGCCTGCCGGGCCATGGTCCATGGGGTCGCAGAGAGTCGGACACAACTAAAGTGACTAAGCACTCACGCACAGGGCAATCCCAGTGAATCTGACCTATGACAATTCATATAATGAGGCAGGGTTCTGGGGCTGTGAGAACTGAGTTCAAGGCTGGGCTACAACTGATGACTTACTGGCGATCCCAAGCATGTCCTTTCCCTCCTCTCTGGATTTCATCTGTCCTTCCTGGAGGCTGGGGCATTGCCTGGATGGCCTCCTGACCCATCTTCCTCATCCCCCCATGGCCTGCAGAGGGTTCTGTCCCTTTTTCTGGGAGGCTGCGTCTCCCAGGCCATCGACTNCGACTCCTTCCTAGTCCTTGGGAACTACCCCTCACCTGGAAGATGCTCCTTATCCATTCTACTGGCAGACTGGTCACCCTCCTTGGGCAGCCTGTCCCCTGGAGTGGCAGGAGTCGCCCACATGGTGGCAGTCTGTGCCAGGATGGTGGGGGGGGGGGGCTACTTGTCCTTGTCTTCCCAGAGTGAGCCCACCTGAGTGAACTGGGCTTTGCCCTTAGGGTCTGGGGCCAGATGTGGTCAAGGGCCAGGGCCTCGCCTGCAGGCCACCAGAGGTCTGGTTCTACCTGGGGTCAAAGCTGGGTCCAGGGCTGGAAGCACTGTCACAAGGGCTTGGTTGGAAGGCCCATCCTGGGTCTCCTTCATCCCAAGCTGTCCCTGGGGTCATTAATCCTATGTCTTCACCACCTCCTCTCTCTTTTGAATCTCATTCTGAAATGGATCTGAGGAGAGAGGCCTGATCTCTCAGTCACCTGGCCTTCTGGGGAGGGGCCTCCACTCAGGTATTTGGGTCCCTAAGGCCAACCTTGATGAAGTCCTCGAGGCAGCCACCAGGTGGCGATAGAGATGAGCTGGTCTGGTCTGACTGCCCAGAAAGGCCCGAGAGGTACTGGCGAGAGGAGGAAAGAGGGGGTGCGGGAGAAATTCTGCTCGTGGTCACCCCCATTCTACTCCCAGTTCACACGCAGCCTGGGGCGTCTGCTCATGACCTCTGCTGGCGAGGAACCATGTCTCAACTTCTCTCCATTCCTGAATGCCCCTCAACCCCAGCAGGAGCTGGGAGTTGTGGGGGTGGCAGGGCCCCACCTCTGTCTTTTTCCTTTTTTTTTGTCCCTGTCTTGGGTCTCTCTCTCTCTTTCCACCCTCCTGGATGATAACTCTGCTTCTCTCCCCAGATATGAGTCACTAATGGTGCGATTTTAGGCAGAGTGGAGAATGGGCCAGGGCCAGCAGAAAGTTCGCAGGAAGGGGAACCCAAGGAGGTCAACTGGAGCAACGACTTTGAATCCATCCCTTGCTGACCGGCACCATCTTCTTCGCCCTGCAGCCTCTGTGTTTAAACCTATTAGAGGTATTGTCTATTTGGGGGACACTTATTCTGTCCTCCGCCACCTGGACAATGGTAACACGGTCACCTCATGACCTGTGTGCTCCTTGGCTGTCGGTGCCCAGACGTAACCATTTCTGGGACTGCGGACAGCTCCGTCAGCTGTTTTGCATAGTTCCAAGAATAGAACTGTCTCTTGTTGGTTGGATTTAGAGGGCAGGGGGACACAACAAGAACGTGATATAACTTCACCACACTCAGAGAAGAGAGGGTACCACTGAGCAATATGTGAGTTGAAAGCCCTTAGAACTGTGTGTTCCTCACATGGAAGCCAGAGGGGTGGTGGCATCTGACTTCAGTGACGACTTTGACCAGCCCTCCTTGGAATGGGGGGTGGGGGGATGGCCACGAGTTGGAAGCTGGTCCGCATTTTACCCCACATGGGAACACCAGCCACCAGGAAAGCCAGGCTAATCCAACCCAGTGTTTATTGTTGCACAAGCCTGTTTGCAGTCCCGAGGGGATCTTCTGGCTGGGGCGTGGATAGCAAGCCTTGTGGCCACAGGGGTGCAGGGAAGATACAGGCTGTGACAACCCCCAGGCTCTTGTCCAGAGGATACACGGGCCAGAGGACTCCTCAGCCACACTCTGGGGAGAATGGGAATGGGGTTTGGGGATGGTGCAAATAACAATACCAGTGGTGATACAAATAAGCAAGAGGATTCAGCTGGTTACAATATATAAAAGGCAGCAGTTAAGAGTCTGTGCTTTCACTTTCCCATCAGCAAGATCTGAGTTCAAATCCTGTCTGTGTGACAAGGTGAGGTGCCTGCTTTGGGTGAGGCTCACTGTGATAGTGCCCACCTTGCAGGGTTGCTGTGAGGATGAAGGGGCCTGTGAGCGTCCATCATCTCTGAGCCCGGTGCTAATAGTTGGCACATAGGTGGGCAGCTCCCAGAGCCAGTGAGGATAGGTAGGGCTGGAGGCAATCTCTTGGAATTGGTCCAGCCATCCCGGGGCAGCTCCACCCTAGCGGGGACTATGGAGATAGCTGCCCTCCCCAAACTAAAAACTCCTTGTTTACAACCGCACCTGCTGGAGGCAGAAAAACTCATTCACTGCGAAGAGTTGGCAGCTATGAGGAGGCACTGAGGGAGGGGACTGCATGTTTGGAGAGATGCCTGAATGGTGATGCTTAACCCAAAAGAACCTGATGTCAACGGTGGAACTTCAGGCACTGTCCAGGTGGTGGTGGCAGGTGACCTTTCAGGGCAGTACCCTTGTCGCCTGAGATAACAGCACATTCCCAAATGCACACTCTGGGGATAGGCGGTGGCCTTTCTCCGATGGGTCGGGTGGGTGGCGTGAGCTACCCGGGGTGGAATCAGGCGAGAGTATGCAGATTTCTTGCCCTCAATTGGCGGAGGAAGTCTTTGGGGGCGGAGTCTGAAGACAGCTTCACCCCACGTCTTCCAGGTAGGAGCTTCCATTGTTCCTCCATCTATGTACCTTCCTCTCTCCAGGCAGGCGCAAAGGCAGCGTTCTCCAGGGGCTTCCGGACAGTGATCTGGGGGCCCGGGGAAGCCTCCTGAGCTCAGCGCTGGGGCTGACCTCGCCCGAGAGGTCTCTGCCCCCGGTGCCGCGCGGGGTGGCGGGCAGTGCCGGCGAGAGGTGCCGCCCACCCGCCGGGGCACCTGGCGGTCAGACCTGGGAGACTTCGGCCTGGAAGCTGGAGGAGCGGCCGGCGCCAGGGCTGACGCGGGTCAGCATGGAGACCTGCGTGCTGCACGTGGCCCCGTTGCTGCCTGCGGATGGGTGCTGGTATTTGGGGTCCCAACCCAAGACGCCCTGCAGGTGCCAGCGCCGCCACTTCCGCCGCAGCTCTGCCTGCACCTGGGAGAAGGAGAGTGGTCAGGCCTGCCCCAAGGAAGCCTCCCGCCATGCTGACTGCGCCGCACTCCATCTAGGATGCGGAGGCAGGCAGTCATAGCCTCTTGAGGAGTCTAATGTGAGGGGCCAGATGCTACTTTGGGCGCTGCAGAGATGGGACCTCCTTGGAGCCAGGCCAAATCAAGCCATTGGAGTTGGGGGAGGTGGGAGCCAGAGAGGATCAGAGAATGCAGTCTAGGCAGGGAGTGGGATGCTGCAGGGGGTGGGTGGCGGTACTCTAGTCTCCAGATCCTTGCCCTCTAAATCACTGAGCTCTCCAAGTAGATTTTTGTGCTTTGTAACCAGGCTCCACAGTGACTCAACCTTGCTGCCTCCACCCATCCCCGCTCACACTGCACATAGCCACCCAACACAGCACTTCTCACACTCTTCTCTCACGAATCACACGAATCCCCGGAGATTTTCTTCAAAGCAGATTCAAAGTCAGCAAGTCCGGGGTTGTCCCAGAAATCAGCATCTTAAGCAAGGTCCTAGGTGCCATCACTGACGTACTAGTCTGAGGACCACCTTTGGCATAGCAAGGTTTGACCCTTCTCTGCTCCACACATCAGGGTTTTTGGACCCTGGGGCTACCAGACTTCTGTTCCCTGGCCCCCAGGGTCTGGGAGGGGCTTACCTCACCATTCAGGAAGCAGTAGAGGATGGCCACCACAAAACCCTAGGGAGGAAGGGAGCAGAAGTGAGGTAGACAGACTCGGAGAGCCCCAAGCCCTGCCCCACCCATGTTCCCTTGGATAATCAAAGGGTAGATACTTATTACAATGAAGATTGTCATCTAGGGGCAAGAGGCCAAGGACCCAGGAGAATCCCCTCCCTTAAAGCCCAGAGAAGAATGCAGCCTTATGTCCACAGTTCCTACCTGGAAAGACCCCACGACGAGCTCAAATACCATTTTCACTTCAGCCTTAAAGTTGTCGGGGAAGAAGGCGAACATGATGTAGTGCACGCCAAACAGGGGGATCAGCAGAAGGGTGGACTTGGCCAATCTCCTGGGGACAGGGGAGGGGCAGGCAGTGGGCATGGGTGTCCACACATGTGGGCACAGAAGACAGGGACAAGGAGCAGGATGTGTGAGGATGGGCTGTGGGGTCTCGTAAGCCCTATATCCACATGTTTCTGTTCTGCATCTGCAGTGCCTATATCCTCATGCCCCCCCCCCCCCCCCCCAGGCCTCCTCTCCTGGACAGGCTCATGAGAGAAAGAGAGCGTAACCCCTCTATTTCACTTCCTGGAGGAGAGCACATAAAGGAAGACCACTGCTGAAAAACCCAAGGATGATACGTGATAGTGGTTATTTCAGGCTCCATGGCCACTAATGGGGATATTAAGCAATGGGAGATCATGGTTTCTCTTTCTCTGGTCTCAATTTCTCCAATTTGTACAATGGGGCGAGTGTATGCTCAATAAGGTCAAGTAAGAAAAGTGGTTTTTCCGTCTCTCTGTTGTGTCCAACTCTTTGGGATCTCATGGACTGCAGCACACCAGGCTTCCCTGTCCTTCACTATCTCCTGGAGTTTGCTCAAACTCATCTCCATTGAGTTGATGATGCCATCCAACCCCTGTAAACTCGGAAGTGCTTTGGGCGCTACAAAGTGCAATGTTTTCATGAGAGACCAATGCTTTACTGGAATTTGAGGGCCTTTGGGAAGGAAGGCTTTGTCCTTGGGTAGCTGACTACATCTGTCCATGGTCACTTGGGAGGATGGTGGGTGCTCAAGTTTGTGCTTGGTCACCAAGGGTGACTCGGGGTCAGTTAGCAAAGCCCTGTCTTTGGCTTCTCTGCTGTGTCCACTTCCCCAGGAGTTGCTACCTTTTCTGGGATCATACCCCTTTCCCCCTGTCTCCCCCTGACCAATACACGCAACCCCAGCATTCTCTGAAAGACCAGCTCTTCCTTAACAACCCTTGTGTGTTCAGCAGGGTCCACAGTCACTTGATGACTTGCCCCTTTCCCGTGGAGCAGGGCTCATCCTGGTTCAGGCCTCCCAGCCAGCCCCCTGACCTCATAGTTGGTCCAGGCAGCATGAACCCACAGTCCTCACGCTGGGAGATGTCTGAGGGCTGGATGTGTCTCTGCCTTTCTCTCTCCTGCCCTGGCAGTCAGTCCAGGGGAGCCTAGCCCTGAGCCTGAGGACCTACCCACTCCTTCCTGGACCTGGTTCCCCACCACACCAACATCCCCAGCCCTGCCCACCACTCCTTGGCTGCAAACCTATCCCACGCACCCGCGACTGACAGATGGAGGCTTTCTTTAAATTGAAGGCTTGTGGGGAGGTGGAGAGTGGGAGCTGACAGTCCCTCCACAGGGAGCTCCATCTTCCACTCCCCCCACCTCTTCTGCCTGCCGACAGCTGTTCAGTTTCCACCTCACCCACGTGGACCCGGCGATGACCGGCTCGCTCTGCCTCAGATCCAAGCCCTTTTGAGCAGTTGTATGTTTGGGGGAAACAAGGCCCCGCAGGCAAATTAGAGGAAGAGCAGGCACAGGCCTGCTGAGCTAGCCCTCGGGCCCACTGCAGCCCCTGCAGGGCCTTCCTTTCTCAGACTGGAAGGGAAGCCCCGCCTCCACACCCGGCAGGAGGGAGAGCTGTCACACCAGGAACTCAAGTCGTCTTAGTCTCATCAGAGAGAATCGCAGGATTCCAGAATAGAATCCTAAATCCAGCAGCTCGTGACATTCTTTCTAGCCAGATTAGAACCACAGCACAAATTCCCCAGAGAGAAGCCAGGCCCAGGAGAACATTCTAGAATCCCAGGACTGAAAGGCCCTGGTGGAACGCCCCAGGTTCGTCTTGTCCGTTTGATGCAGATAATCAATCTCCTGCTCCCATCTGTGGGTGTACAGACCGACTCACCCTCCGGTAGCCACCTGCTTTGTGTTTCTCTAGTTCTGTCTTCCAGCTTAGTTGTTTTAATGAAACCTGCCGGTTCTCTCATCCACCCGCCCCCAAAAGCACAGGAATGCCCCTCACACCTTTCAAGCAAGGCTATGACCTCTGTCCCCACAGACACTGTGCCCTCCCCCCACCATGGTGATGTGCTCCCAAACCTTTGAGGAGGAGGAGGGAGTATGGGTCAGTTTCCTCATCTGTGAAATGGGTACAATTTGGAGGAGACTTGGAGAAGGAAAAGGCAACCCACTCCAGTATTCTTGCCTGGAGAATCCCATGGACAGAGGAGCCTGGCAGGCTACAGCCCATGGGGTCACAGAGAGTCAGACATGACTGAGCAAATAACCCGTGGAGGAGACTATATGGATGGAATGAGATGAAGCCTGGAAACCCCACTGCACGCGCCTGGCATGTAACCTGCGGGTGCCATTGCTACTCTCAGGGTGTACTGAGCCCCGAATGTGGCTGTCTCCTTGGTAGACCTGGGGTTCCCCTGAGGCATCTGTCTACTGCACCCCATTTTTGAGCCAGGCACAAGTCAGGCACTGGGCATGTGGTGTGAACAGGACACAGGTTATCTCCTATCTTCTTGAGCTCCCTCGTTTAGCAGCAGACACACAGCAGGGCAGATCACCTTCTAGGCAAGTCGTGAAGAGAAGTAGCCCTGGGACTCACGGGCCAGGTGAGGGTGGGGGTGGGGACATGTGTGGACTGAGCCGGGCCATGGGGTGGAGCTGGGCAGAGCATGGTGGCTGTTTGGTGACTCTGGCAGGGAGCTTCTAGGGAATGGGAGATGATCTGAGGACTGGAGCTGGGGATACTGGGAGGGCCGGGGCCCTGGGTCCGTACTCACGAGTACGGGCTGCTGTCACTCTTCCCGACATCTGGGGGCCGCAGTTTCTGAACCAGGATTCCAATGATGCGAATGAACAGGATGAAATTCACCTGGTGGGTGGGGCCCAAGGTTAGGTGGTCAGAGAGGGGAGGAAGGGTCTCGAGTCCCCTGGAATGATGGCCGTGTCCCCCAGGGCCCAGTTACTGGTCTATTGTACCTTTCCCCTAGCTCTTCCCTCTTCGGGAGAGTCATCCAGGAACCCTCTTTCACACCCCCAAGGGCTGGGCCTCCCCATTTGCTTTCTCTACTCTAGAGGAAGAACTGCTGGGGAAGGACTTGGGGACAGTCCTGCCTTAGGCATCGATCAGGAAGTCTAGGTTTCAGTTCTGACCTAGACATGAATGTCCAGTGGGATCTTGGCCAATTGTCTACCCACTCCAAGCCCAATCTCCCCATCCCTAAGTGGTGGGAGGAGGCCTTACCAAGATGGAGGCGAGGATGGGGGCCTTTATGATCCACCACAGTGAGGAGTTGATTGTGTCCCAGCATCTGGGGCAGGGGACGAGGGGGGAGAATGAGGGAGTTTGTCCTCGGCCCAAGAGAATCAGTCCTCCTCCCGCTGTCCCCAGCTCTGCCCCGGAGCCCTTTAAAAGCCACTGGCCCAGAGTCTGTTGCTCCCCAGCCCCTCCTGATCCCACCCAGGGGATCTGCCCTGAGTGTCGGGAGCCAGGAGGAGGGGGCAGGCTGACAGCTCACCCATAATCCTCAAAATGGATCCTGATGATGGTCCACACCAGGGTGAATGTGCTGGGCACCCCTGTCAGGACCGAAGGAGAGAGAAAGAAGAGAGGGCATGGGAGAAAGAGGGAGAAATGAGGTGGAAGAATCAGGGAGGGATAGGGAGAGAAAAGGGAGGGTTTCCAATGCGGTCACTCATGGTGGCATACATAGACAGTTCACTCTGCAGAGATACTCTACCGAGGGGGCGAAGCTTTAAGACTGCAGGACTGTGCCTGTCTGCATAAATGGGGAGTCTTTCTCTCCTTTTGGCAGAGATGCTTTATAGATTAGCAGCATCCCTGTGAGTTTCGAGGGGTGATGGGGAAGTGGAAGGATGTTCAGAGAGCCTGTCTGTCCCACAGGTCAGCCCGAGGTACAGCTGGAGCCAGAGGGCACCTGCTCAGAGGTCAATTGGAGGACTTTTCTCAATCCTTGGCCGAGTGCCCTGCAGGTAGGACTTGCAGTCCAGCAAGACCTAAGGGTGCAGGCTGGGTTGGTACCCGCCCCCCTAAAGAGCTCCCCCAGCTTTGCCCCCTTATTCCCATCCTGGCAGCCCTCCCTGGTACCATACCCCAGCCGATGAATATGTACCCCCAGAAGTACTTCCGCTCGGAGAAGAAGGAGACGGCGAGCAGGGTGTGCAGGTAGAGGCCCTCCACCAGCAGCCAGAAGAAGTTGGCCATGACACAGTACTGGAATAAGACCACGGCTGCCTTGCAGCCCACCTGCAGGGGAGGAGCAGGGAGGGCTCACTGAAGCAAGCAGGGGTCCCTGCCTGCCCACATCTCTGTCTGAGGTGATCAAAAGGACTGCCATACAGCCAACTTCCCAGTTAGCTCTGATTTTAGATCATCAGATGCTTTGGAATAAGGTCAAAATTTTAATTATCCACCATGAATTTATTATCTATTTATCTTCCCATCTATGTATCTAGTAACTCACTTACCCACCCAATCATCCATCTACCCACCTACCCACTTATCCATAACTTACCCACCTACTCCCAGCATCCACTGTCAAGTCACCCATCTTTCTATCTACCATCCATGCATCCACACATCATCTGTCTATCAGCAACCATCATCTTCCATCTGCCAGTCCATCGACACACTCACCTATCAGTCTCTCCATTCATTTATTATCTACATATCAGACATCCACTATGGACTCAGACACCTGGACATCTCTTCATCCATTCATTTATCTACTTGTCCATCAGTCTGCTCCTCCATCCACCCACCGATATACCACACCCCTCTACCAATCATCTATCCAATTTTTCTTACTTCATCCTTCTATCTTTCCACCTACTCAAGTCATCCACACATTATTTACTCAGCCATCCAGCTACCAATCCATCCACTTACCCCCTCTGCTACTCAATCACCTTATTCCAATTACTGTGGAAAGTAGCTGGAAGAGGTATAAGGGAGAATTCTTGCTTTTATTAACAAGAGTCCCTTGAGTGTGTAGGGAGAGGAGCTGTGGACTGTCTCAGGAGCCTCAAGGACAGGGGAGGGGAGGGGGAACAGACCGCCTGTAGCAGGGGGCACTGTGAGCTATAAAGCAAATGGGGGGGTTAGATGGAATTGTTGGGGAAAGATAGGGACAGAGAAGAGGAAGAGAAGGGGGATGAAGAAATTGGAAAAAAGAGGGGAGGGGAGGGGTGATCATTCCTCTTGGGGGGTGAAGAAGCTAGGTGAAGCATGGGTTCCCTAGACAGGTGAGTGAGGACAGGGGAAAAGTCAGGGACACCTCTGGGGAGGGTAATCAGGGGCTCTGGGAGGCCCGGCTGGCATGATCAGAAGGTCTTCTGGGCCCTCTGTCCTCTCCCAGAAACAATCTTCCATTTCAAAGTGAGCCCAGAAACATGTAAGCCAGAGCTTAGAGACACCGACCAACAGGAAGTCTTCTGTTTTCACCCCTCCCTACCCAGACCTCAGGTTCCCACCATTCTCTCCTGTGCCCTTGGCTTTGAAGTGTCCTCAGAGAGCAGGCTCCACTCCTCTGCTGGCTGGAAAGTCCTTCCTCAGGTCTTACTTAGGTCCCTCCTGTAGGCAGTCTGCTTCCCCTGCCCTCCCTCATTGCCTGACAGCAAGAATAACTCAGATCTTTAACAGGGCAATGATCTGTGCTTCTTCTTGCCTTAGAAAAGCTTCATAGAGCTGCTAATGCATAGGGAAGCCACTCTTATCCTCAACAAGTGCGCTGGAGGCTGCAGGCTGCTCGCCAGGCTCTGGGGCTCATGTCCCATGGGTCTGAGCCCAGTTCCCAGGCGAGGTCATCTGAGGCACTCTGGAATGGCCAGGGTGGCCCCTCTTGGTGTTCCCTCTCCCTTGAGACACCCGGGATTCTACCATCGCTCTCTGCAGAGATTCACTTTCAATCCCACTCTTTGGGGAGAAGGTACTGCTGAGCCCTGAAGTAACACACTACCTCTGAGGTCCCTCATGAGGCAATGAGTCATTGACCACAGAGGGCAGACGGGAGACAGGACTGGTCTCAAGCTCTCTGTCTCTGCTCAGGGCTGCGGCGCACTCAGGGAGGGGCTCAGAATCACCTGGAGATGGGCTCCTTAGTGAGCAGGGCAATGACTTCTTTAAAGGCTCTCAGTCTCCCTTCCCTAGGCAGGTCCAGAGTGACTGATGGCCGGGGAAGAAACGAAGAGCAGGGCGGTGTGGGGTGGGACTGGCTCCAGGTGGCCATGGGGGGAGGAGAAAGGGGGGCATGATGAGCAGAGCCCTGGGGATGCAGATGGCAGGGAGAAGGATTGGAAGGAAGCTCAAATGTCCTTGCATGATGGGGAAACTTGAGGCAGGGAGTTCCCTAAAGTCCCATGGGAAGTTAGCAGCAGAGGCAGGAAGGGGAGGTTATGAGCTGTGGCCCCAAGTGTCCCCTTTCCCACCCAGGAGAGGTGTTTCTCATCGGCAGGAGGAGGTGTGTGAACCCCCAGATGGCCAAGCACCCCCTCCTGCTGTGGGAGCGAAGTGGGATTCAAGGAACTGGCAGGCAGGGTCAGACAGAAGTTTGGCCATCTTTGCAGAGAGAGAAAAAGAGAGAGGGAGAGAGAGGGGAGGAAGACAGGAGGGAGGAGAGAGAGAAGAGGAGATTCAGGAGAGAGGGCAGAGGGCGGCAGGCCTGGATGGGTCCTCACCGAGCCCTTGGAGCAATGGTCCGTCTCCCCACTGTTGAAGAGGGCCAAGTCTTTGATGAAGACGGCGGCGGCCCTCAGGATGAAGGATATGAAGAGGTGCATATGGATGTAGTTCCGTGTGCAGTGGAGCTTCCTGTGGGAGGCGGCCAGATCTGGGAGGCCGAAGAAGGCCTCAGACCCCCGCCCCATCCAACACGTCCAGCGCTCTGAGAGAGGGGAGGACTCGAAGCCTCTGAATGCGGACCCTACCCTCAAGGGGGACCCTGTCCCCCAGCATCCTATCCAGATGTGCAGCCTGACTTGCCGTACCTCCTTCCAGGGCACAGGCCTCTGGTGACCTATCCCCCGGTGACCGGCTCCCTGTGAGGGACGAGGCTGACACAGGGGAACACTCTGAGTGGCCTGCTGTCTCGAGGGGAGGCTGGCCTGGCAGGGGGGCTGGGGCAGGACTGGATAGGGGCTGACTGTGGAGTGAGGAACAGCATGCCTGGGAGTGGAGTGACCTGGTCGGTCTCTCTGAGGCCTGTGGCTCGAGCTGGTCCTCACCTGAACAGGCTCAGGATGGCCGTGGCGACCAGAAGGGTGGCGAGGGACAGGCTGTAGCCGATGGTGTAGCCGGTCTTCACAGAACTGTAGAACACTGTCTGCTGCTGCTAGAGGGAGGTGGGGTGAGGATCTCGGGTGGGGTGAGGGGGCGCTCACCTAGGGGTGGGGTGCCCTATGCGTCCTGCCTCCCTTCCCCTGCCTTGGCGGATGAGGAGGCTGAGGCCTGGGGCTCCCAGTCCCCAGACCCCCTGACTCCCTGGTTTCCACAGACGAGTCAGGGCTGCTTCCCGGGGTGGGGGCGGGGGGTTGATCTCAACTCTTCTCTGCTCCTTCACAGGAGAAATGTCAGTGGGGAAAGGAGCGAAAATGCCACATGTTCCACTGGCCCATCCATTCATTCTTCAGTCATGTGTCCAGCAGACCTTCTGGGCCAACTCTGGGCTTGGTATCCTTGGGCGTAAGACTGCTCACCATTCAGACCCTCACACGAAGCCCTCCCTCCCCACTGAAGACAATGGTAAAGAAGACACTGTTGTTGTTTAGTCACTAAGCCTTGTCTGAATCTTTGTGACCCCATGGACTGTAGCCCTCCAGGCTCTTCTGTCCATGGGATTTCCCAGGCAAGAATACTGGAGTGAGTTGCCATTTCCTCCTCCAGGGTATCCTCCTGATCTAGGGATCGAACCCAAGTCTCCTGCATTGACAGGCAGATTCTTTACCACTGAGCCTCCAGGGAAGCCCAAAGAAGACACTAGGGGTGGATCGTGTCACAAATGTGTGACTTGTCGGGGCTGGGGTTAGCAGGAGGAGGGCATTCTGGCCTTTCTGGGGAGGTGGGACAAAGCTGGATGCTGAGGGCTTCCTGCTGCCCCCTCCCCATGGATGCATACACAAAGCCATGGGCAGCCCCTCCTTCCTCCCCACCTCCTACTCCCTGCTGGAATAGAGGCCAGTGGTTAGAAAGGACTTAGTGGATTTAGATCCTGCCTGAGGATCTGGTGGGCTCTGAAGGCCTCTGAGAAAATTACTGCCCTCTTGGGAGGAATAGAAGTCCCTATCTGTGAAGGGCATCAGGAGTGGGACAGAAGTCATCACAGACAGCCAGACAGTGTTCACATATCAAAGCTGTGAGGGGCTCCTAGCTCGGGACTCCAATCACATTCCAGGCTCCCCATCAGTATCTCTCGCTGGCTCCTGGCCCCACATCCTTGGAGAGACCACTGACAGTCTGCTCCAGGGCAGATCCCTGCCCTGGGACTGAGGACAATGGCCCTGGCCCTGTCTCTGACTGGCTGCTGGGTATCTGAGGCCAGTTCCTTCCAGGATCCGCACCTTGGTTTTCCTTCTGCATGAGACAGGGGGGAGGGGTTCTGTCAGCCCTGCCGTGTCCAGGGCTGGAGCAAGGTTCCTGTGAGGGAGTGGGGTGGGCTGGCCTCAGGGTGAAGCCTCAGCTTTGCTGCTGTGTGTCATCCTCCTGGAAGCGCTCTCCTGGAAGCCCTCTCCAGGACCCTTCAGGGGAGCTGGGGGACGAGCCCCTGGGAATGTGGGCCTGGAGAGGGAGGAGGCTTGGGGAGGGCAGATGCCAGGAGTCCTGGCTCCTACACAGAGGGCAACCATGCCCCTTGGTGGGAGAGAGTGGAAGGAGCCAGCAGGCCCGTGCAGTTGTGTGTGTGTGTGTGTGTGTGTGTGTGTGTGTGTATGGTGCATGGAGGCCCACCTCATCCAAACTCGATGAATTGTCATCCAAGCCACAGGCAACGGGGTAGGGGCCAGGCTCCAGGGGCGTCCAGCCCGCTTCGGTGCAGCTGCGGCTCACGTTGCGGCCTGGGTGGAGGGTGGGGCGGAGAGGAGAGAGGTTGAGGTGGGAGCTGGCAGGTTGGAGGAGTAGGCATGGAGTCTGTCTGTCTGTGGGCTCAGCCCTACTCTTACCATCCGCTGCAGCATCACGTCCCAGCTGTTCTGACCTAGATGCCCAGGACATCATGGGGCAGTCTGGGGCAGGCAGAAGCCCCTCCAGGGCTGCCAGTGGACCCTCTCACACAGATGACAGGGCAGACATTGCTGCCCCTTGCTCTGTATAAACCTGACCTCAGGGCGATTTAAACCCTGATCCTCATCACAGGCAGCCTGGATCCTTGGCACGGACTGATCCCTGTCCCTTGGCATGAGCTGAACGCTGAACCCTGTCACAGGGCCATGGATGCTACCGTGTCAGACGGTTTCTTGGTCCCGTGTGTACAGACAGCAGCCTTCTGGCTGGGGTAAGGGGCCCAGGCCTGCCCAGTCCTCCTGGGTCAGCCTGCCTGGGCCTACGGGTCTGGGTTTCCTTCCACACCCTGGGGCCAGGGGTTCAGATGTGCTGCTGGAGAGGGACCAGAGTAAGGCAGGAGGTGGGTGAGAGTTGGAGGACATCTTATAAAGGCACAGATGTGAAGTCCTGACACATGGAGAAGTGGGAGTTGCTGGCAGGGGCACTTGCCCAAGCAATGGCAAGCATGAGAAGAAATGAGCCGCACAGGATTGCAGAATCTCGGGGCTGAACCGCTAAGGCTGGGTTTCCAGGGCAGTGCATGGTCCTCTGTCCTTGGAGGCCCAGGGCTGCAGCCAAGGGATAGGACCATTAATGGGCCATGTGAGGTGAGGGGTACCCCTTAGGGTCCCCCTCTTCAGGGCAGGGAGGAGCTGGATAGGAAATGGGTGAGACAAAGGGGGCCCCCTCGCCTCTATCCCAGGACTCCTTACAGAGACTCTGAGTCCAGGAGAGAGCCCGCCTGCCAGGCTTGTGGTGGGAGAGGGAGGGAGGAGGAGGAGGGAGGGAGGAGGAGGAGGGAGAAGGAGGAGGAGGGAAAAAGGAGAGGGAGAGAGGATGAGAGGAGACAGAACAGGTAGGAGGAGGAGGTAAGAAGTTGAGAAAGAAGGTGGGAGGAGAAAAGATTAGGGAAAGAGATCAAGCGAGTTGACGAGGAAGAACTGAGAAAGAAGGTGACTCCTGACATCCTTGCCCTCTAGCTGCTTTCTCACCTGGGCCACCACTGTCAGCACCACCACCAACATCATCACCATCATCACCACGGACGTTTTGAGAACTTTCCCCAGGTACACTGGATAGAGCACTTCAGGTACATTATCTTTTTTGGAGCCCCTCCATCATCACAGTTGGGGAGCCGAGCTCCAAGAAGCTGGTCACTTTTCCAAAACCACATAGGAGATACCAGGTGGAGCAGGTGTGGTCCCCACACTCTCCCCAGGTAACGTGGACCCTCATCTGCACTGAGGTGGCTGAGTACTTAGTTCAGGCGTCCAGGTGCAGAGCTGTAGGAGGCGGGAGGCGTCAAGCTATCCTGAGCTCAGGGAGGGTCCCTGCGCATGTTTGATACTTCGAAACTTGGCCGTGTGCTCAGAGCATCCCAGGTAACTCCCTATTCGCTATTTCCATGAATCTTCCTGGCTGCCATTTGAAGGAGGTGCTCGTCACCCCACTTTCTGGATAGGGAACTGAGGGATGGCTAGGGGTGGGGGGATCTCCAGGAAGGAGCAGTTGGCTGCGTCTCTTTCCACTGTGAGGTTCCTTCCTGCCACTGTGGCAGGAAGGACTTTGCAGAGGAAGGGGCACTGGGCTAGGCCAGTTCCCTGGCTTACACTTTTTTTATCTAGTTGCCCGGAAAAACACACCCTCTTTCCCTTACAGATTCAGCCCCTAACCCAGTCTCCTATTCCTCACCATCATTTTCAGAGGCTAAGGCCACCAAGGATAGCTGCGTAGGTTGTTCACTGCACAAGGGCATCTGGCTGATGGACACCGAGGGGTAAAGTGTACTTCCTACTCAGCTTGTCACAAGGTGGGTTCAGTGAGTGGTTGACTCCACCCGAGGAAGAGTTGCCTTCTCTCATCTGCCTGAGGGCTCGGTGGGGGCCCCAGTGAGGCTGGCAGCCTCCGCGTTAGCCAGATGGTGGGCTGGAGTTCCGGTTCTCAAGTGAAGGAGCTGCCTTCTCAATTCCAGCAGGGACAGAAGGAAGAGCCTCAGGAGGGATGCAATTAGCATAGTGTCAGAGTGGAATGCAATTGGCGGGCGCTCCCAGGGATCTGAAGAAAGGCTGGTTGCCAGGCTCTGCTGAAGGGAGCATGATGAGAGCTGCCCCAGGGAGCTCAGCTCCTACCTGCCCAGGTGCTGGGTCCCCCTGGAAGAGGGCTGGGCTAGGTGGGTGCTAGCCTGGACTGTGACATGCCTGTGGCTGAGGCATGTCATGGAGGTCACCCCCAAGGAAAGCACCCAGATCACCTTGACCGCTGAGCACGCATCCCTGAGCACTGGGGGGCAAAACATGACTGCCTCGAAGAGACCGTTTGGTCCCCCTTCCATTCTCACTTTACAAACAGGGAAATAGGCCCAGAGGGGGAAATGTCACCTGGAGAGAGAGACTTTCTGCTCATCCTCTCAATTTTCATCTAGGTCCTGTCCATCACCACCCCTTCCCACCCCAGCCCTGCTCCTCCCTCTGTCCTCCCCCAGCTCATCAAACCCATACCTGAGTGGGGCACACATGACCCCTCCCCTCCCTCTTCCCCCACCTGCCTGCTTCCCTCCCCTGACTTGCTGTCCACCCAGGTCCAAACCATCATCATCTCTCCTCTGCCCTGGTGTTGGGTTTTCCCATATGTACCCCCAGACTTCTCTCTTCTCACAGAAACCAGTTATCAGTTAAAAACCCCCAACTGGACCGTGTCCATCACCCGCTTAACTTCCGTCATGGCTTCTGAGTGAACTTAGGGAGAGCCCACACCCTGGCAGTCCTCCAGGCCTCTGCCTGCCTGGTCTCTGTCCTCTCCTCCCTCGCCTGAGCTCACGTGGCCTCCACTGAATTTCCTCAGGGCTCACACCACGGACTGTGGATCCTCTCAGTGATCCCCCAGCTAGGATCTTTGAGACTCTTTCCCAGCCCAGGTCTTCAGTCAGTGGTCCCAGCATTACCTCCTTGTAGAGGCCGCCAGGACAGCTGCCTTAGCTTGCTTCTGCCTCTTCTCTTTCCCAGCACCGCTTACTACTTATATAATATTTGCATGTGTTTTCTTGCTAAACGTCTCTCCAACTAGAACATGAGCTCCCTGAACACAGCGCATTTTATCCTTCTGACCCATGCTGTGTTTGTCCAGCCTAGTGCCGGTCAAACTAGTAGGTGTTTAATGATCATTCTCTGAATGAAAGCATGACTGACTATGTGCCCTAAGCCCCTTTAATTATTCAGTAGCAAGACGGCCCATTTCCTTTTCTTTTCTGCCTTATATGTGCATATTTACTTAAGCAGGACCTGACAAGTTGTGTAAGAAAGGCCAGTTTCGAAGTCTGAAAGGTCATTGCCTCCAGGTAGTGAAAGAATGAATCAAGACCAGCTCCCCAAAATGGGAACATGGAAGCCATAACTGTCAATCAGTTATCAATCGCTGAACAAATATTTAGTGAGCCCTTCCCACATGCTTATCTTTCTGGGAAGAGCTAATCAGATCTCATGAGTCCTTCAGAGAACTAATAGTGCAGCCTCTTCCAGGAAGACCCCCACCCCCGATTGCTCTAGCCCCTTTGAGCACCTCCTTTGTCGTCTCATTTCCCTGAGAGGTGATTCCCCACTCCAGCCACCTCTACTTCTGCCACCCAGCTCCCACCCTTCAACCTGAGGTTCTTACCTTGAATGGGCGAGAAGAGCTTAAAGATGAGGGGACAGGCCAAGACAACCACCTGGCCCCTAGGGGTGGCTGGCCAGCAGGTGAGGTTGTCCCACATCTTGCCGCAGCCTGTGGGGTGAAGGCAGAGGACACATGGGTCAGCGTAGTCACCAGGTGCCTCCAGCCTTGGTCCTGAGCCCACAGGCACCCACTCGCTTCCTCCTTGTTTAGGCTCCCACCTTGAGGAGCCTCCGGTCTGAGGGGAGACAGGGAGGGAGGAGAAGGAGGCATACCTACAGGTCTATGGTTTTTGGTGGGAGACAGAGCTCCCCTTGTGTGTTTTGAACAGCGGAGGGGGTTTGTTTGTTGCGGAGATTGTGAGGAAGGGCCTCCCCAGCATTGGATGCACAGGCGACAGGGATGCCAGGCAGGCATTGTGCGCGGTCCCGCACAACGGTGAGCTCTGTAGCGTCTGGGACTCTCAAATGAGTCGCTGGGCGTTTGCACAGACGAAAACCTTTTGTAATGACCAGAGGCTAGACTCTTACTCCATTTTACAGATAAACACAAGGCACTTATTGTACGGGTTTGACAGTACAAGTTTTCCAGGAAGAAGCAGCCAAGTAAAAGGAGAGAAGGCTGGGCTTTGCTGTGCTCTGAACTTTACTAAGAGTTGTTCAATGTTTTGGAAAATCATGTTACTTATGGCAATGCTGCCCATGAACCTGGGTCAGTGATGCAACCAGTGTATATATCAATCTACATTTAAAGCTCTCACATTCCCAGAATTTATATTTATAGGTACAACCTTTAGACTCTGTCTTCTTATCTTTTGGTGTGATTGTGCTGGAATGTGTACACAGTATTTTATTATACATGTCTTTATTCTATTTTTGTTTTACGTTATAATTAGGATATCATTAAAAAAAAAGGTGCATGTCCTAAGTTTCATTTTAGAATAGTAAAGGAGGCATTAGAAAATATTTGTTATAAAAAGGAGCTATTGGGTATGATAGGGTGATGAATATACTGGGGTTTATTCTAGTTCTTGAGGAGTCTTCATAAAACTCATAAGACAACACCAAATTACCATATGGACTGTAGCCCACCAGGCTCCTCTATCCATGGGATTCTCCAGGCAAGAATACTGAAGTGGATAGCCCTTCCCTTCTCCGCGGGATCTTCCCGACTCAGGGATCAAACGCCAGGGCTCCTGCATTGCAGTTGTATTATTTACCGACTGAGCCACTAGAGAAGCCCACCATAAAACAACACAGATGCCTCCAATCCAGTAAAATTGTGAACTGTGACAGGGACTGGGGATTAGGGAGTGAACTTGGATAAAACCCTGTATCACAGGCTGTGTTCTCCACTGTGCATCTGTTCACCTTGCCTGGTGAAGCCTGCACAGTGGGGTTTCTAGGGGTCCATTTGAATAGGCAGATGCCAATGCTGTGGTCTTGCCTGTTCAGGGTCTGGGTGCCCCTGAGGAATAAGGACTCCTCTGGATGCCCTCCCTCGAGGGAGGTTTAATTGTCTCTTTGCAACACTGCCAGTCCCATAGATTTACTCATGAAACCCAACCCCTGAGCCAAAGTCAACGCCAGCTGGGCCAAACCCAGCCCATCCCAGGTCCGAAGGTTCACGAGTTCCCAAGAACGGGGCCTGGGAAGAGGAGGCAGAAGGACATCCCCACACGGGGAAGAGCCTTGAGCCTCTGAATACGAAGGTGGGCCAGCAGTGGGGAGGGTAGGGGCTCCTGGCTCCTGGGGCTGCAGGAGCCAGGGGGCACCTGCAGCTGAAGGCTGAGAACACCTGGGTCTCCGAGGCCTGGCCAGAGAGCACAGGCTCCCTGCCTTGGGGACCCCATCCGCTACCACCCATCCTATCCTGAGTCTTTTGAGGCCTCACTAGGGCTCCTGTCTCTCTTCCATCCCTGTGCCCACATCTCTGGAAGCCATGTAGCTGCCAGTCAAATCTTGCTAGGTCCTGTTGATGGTATCATCAGCAAACACTTATGCAGCCTTTATATGTGGGAGACCTTGTTCTACCCTCTTTACGCTAAGAACTTATTTAACCCTCCCATTTTACTGACAAGCAACTGAGGGACAGAGCCATCATACAATGAGCTCCAGGTCTCTGGCAAACTGCTTGCCCTTCGCCTGGTCTGAAGGACTCGAGACCCTTTCTCTGGGAATTCTGCCTGGCTGGTCTGTGGATAGCCCTAACGATGCTGGGCATACCCTGGCTTGCAGGCCAGCTATTGTGTCTGGGTTCTTGCCAGGCTTCGGGCTCTGTAGATTTCCAGCAGCCACCCGGATCAGGAGTGGATTCAGAACTGGGTGTCCTGAGCTCAACTTCACTGGAAGCAGCAGAGAGAGGAGGAAGCCTGGGCTCTGCACTCCAGGGGCGGCCATGCTTGGCCTTGAGGAATCTCAGTACCGCCAGCGCTGGGCTGTGAACTGCTGGGGTACAGGCTGGTGGGCGGGGTGGGGCTGGGGGGAGCCAAGGTCGAGGGGCTGCCACCTGGTCAGGGAGGCTTCCTGCAGGAGAGAGGAGGGTCAGGAAGCTGAGAGGGGGTGACAGCCAAGAAAACGCTGGGCATCTGGAGCGCCTGTGGCTGTGAGCTGGGCCCGGGAGTATTCTCTGTGTGTCTGATCCCGGGAGGCCACACAGGTCCCACCGCACAGGTCACCAGGCCCACAGAGACCCAGGGCCCAGGCTGGCTGTGCGTGCCCACAGTGGGGCTACAACCTCAACGGGAAAGAAAGCTCAGCCTGGGTACGGGATGGCGAGGCAGGGTGGGGACCTCTGCTGTGTCATTTTATAGATGTGTGTGCGCACACACACACACTGACAAGCATTCCCCAGCACACAGAATCACAGACACACATGTAAACATGCATACAGGTACGCTTACTTGAACATGGAAGAACCAGACATAAGCAAACATAGGCAAAGAGAGACACACACAACTCATGGACACACATGTATAGACACAACTGAGCATACCACAGACATTCACACACACACACACACACACACACACACACACACCACAGGGCAGACGTATCCAGGCAGGTCCAGGCTTACACAGATATATGCCTCCAACATGCAAAGACACTCAGAGTCAGACACAGAGCTACAGGCTCCAGAGGCACAGAGGCAGCCCTAGACAGACGTGGGCCAGGAGTGCACAGCCAGATGTGCACGAACACGCACAGAGTCCTGCGCAAGGTCATGGGCAGACTACCGCCCACAGACCCTTCATGGCCTCCTCTGCATCTCAGGCCGACTGCCTGGTGACAGAGTGTTGGCTTTCTACAGGCACCCTGTGCCAGCAATGACCTCATTGGGATCACAAGGGTGGCCTGCCCTCGGGGCCTGGGAGGTGCTCTAGTGGGCCTAGAGTCTGGTGTCTGGGCGTCTCCGGGCTGCCCATGATCCCGGATCTCACTGTTGAGACTTTCCAAGGCTGTGTGCAGCCTGGTCTTGACGTCCTGCCCCAGAGGCAGGGGTGGGGGGTGCGGCGTACAAACTGTAGGCAGGTCTGGCTAGCCCTCCCCTGGGCCATAGTTTCAGGGCCTTGGGAGACAGAGGGCCATCCTTCCTTGAGAGCTGGGAGAGGTAAAGGCCATCTGTGATGCTGCACACACTCAGAGCTGCAGGAGGTGGGAATCAGAGCTCAGAAGGAGGGACTTAGGCTGGGGTTCATGACTGTCAGCCTCAGTGAGATGGGGGGACAGGGAAGCCAGGAAGAACAGATGCTCCCTGCTCTTGAGCCAGACTGCTATGTGGCTGTAACCCTGGCTTCAGGGAAGTGACCTCTGGGAGAGAAACCCGGAGCTGGCCCAGGCACCCCACTGCTTCAGCCCTCCCCCCCACCTCAGAGAGGCGTGAACGCTACACCCACTCCCCACCCTCCACAGGCAGTCGGCCTTGGCACCTTCTGACTTCCCAGACTCTCTGCTTCTCCACATCCTGCCCGCCCTTCTGAGTCTGGCTCCAGCAACAGCTTTTAAAGGAAGCCCTCTATTTCCTTCCATTCTCACCCCACGTTTGCTGAGCCAAATGTGGGGGGCACAAGATTGGGGAGTGAAGACTAGAGGGTGATACCATGTGGTCCGATGGCCCTGTAGCTAGGCAGCCTCGACCTGAGGGTGCAGCAGGGCTCACGGTGAGAGGGAGATGGGCTATGTGGAGGGGGGAGGGTTCTTTCTTGCCACCAGGGGCCTCACCTGCTGTTTCATTCTCCAGATGCACCTCCTCCAGGCACTGCTCATGCTGTACCGCGATCATCCGCAGATAGTCACACTCTTCCTGCTGCAGCCCTGCCGCCCAGCCACCCTGGGGGAGCGAGACAGGGAGAGGGACCTGTCAGCCTCATTCATCCACAACCTACCTGTCCGTCCGGGGACTCCAGGAGCATGGGGCTAAGCAAGGCCCAGTCACCGGACTGACCCAAGTTCCAGACTGAACCCCAGCCCCAGTCTGAACTCGACCTTAGACTGAAGTCTGACCTTGACCTAGATCTGACCCCAAACTCTTGTCCAGTGTCCCCGCAAAGCCCTCTGCTGTGAGGGCCCTGTCATGGCTTCCTGACAGCTCCAGCAGTACTGTGCTGTAACAACACTCTCTGTGGGTGGCACGACTCTAGACAGAGGTCAGAGGGCCTCTCCTTGGAGCCCAGCGCTGGCCCACAGGATCCTCCAGCTTGGGCTGGGAGCCCTGGGTCCCTGTTTCGGTCTCTGTGGATGAGTAGGGCCCAGCAGGTGCTACCTTGTCCTGAGCTGGACCCTGGCTTCTGGTCCTCGGAGCCAGGCCTGGGAGGAGTCCAGGAGTCTGGCTCCATCTTTCACCCTCTGTCCCCATTCCTGGAGCGTGTGCTTCTTCCCCTGGGTCACCAGGCAGGGAGGCAAATCCTCCTTGACCAGATCCTCCACCCCACTTAGCTTCTGAATAGTTCAAGCTCTGGCAGATCTAGTGAGGACGAGGGAAGTCTCAAGAAGTAAGAGAGGCCCTTCTAGAATGGCTCACAATCCAACCAGGCCTCCTCTTGCAGAGGTCACCGAGAAGCCCATGCTTTTCCCTTCCCTCCGCTGTGCGCTGGCCAGGGATTAAGGGTAGAGTCAAACCTGTGTGCCAGGGAGATATTGGCATTGGGGCTGACATGTGAGTAGGGGTGAGAGCTGCCCAAGAATAGCCGGAAAAAACAGGTCTTGGGAGTCAGGTCTTGCGGAGGAAGGTGTGGTAAAGGCCTCAGTGAAGGATCCACTGGGCTGGTGGCAGTTTCTGCCAGTCTCTTTGGCATTAGGGAAGTGGCTGCCACCCCACTTCCTCATCTCTGCCCAGGGAGAAGAATGTCACAGTCCCCAATAGGACTGTGGGGAGAGTCCCGTAAGATTGCTCCAGAATCAGAATTTCTTAGTGTCTCTTCTAGCTTGTCCCCCTCACCCTGGGACAAGGTCTTGACCCTCAGTTTCCCTATGAGCCAAATGGACCTTGGCCCCTTCCCCTGATGACTCTAAGGCTTCTTGCAGTAGGATTCTGGGGAGAGCACAGGTATGTCGGGGGGTTCCCCTTATTTCCTTCTTTTAAGGAGACCCCTGTCTGGCCGCTAGGCACCGAGGGTGTGACTTTAACCATTGCTCTAGACAAGTCAATCCCACTGTAAGCGTGTGACTCCATAGAGGGACCACAACCTTAATTCTCATATCTTTTCTTTTAAACAGTTATATGAACAACTGTACCCTGCTCCATAATAGATCTGTGTTATTTTCCATATGTCAGCTTCTAAATTACTTGTGCTTAGTCACTCAGTTCTGTCCAATTCTTTGTGACCCCATGGATTGTAGCTTGCCAGGCTCCTCTGTCCATGGGGATTTTCCAGGAAAAAATACTGGAGTGAGTTGCCATGCCCTCCTCCAAAGGATCTTCCCATCCGAAGGATGAAACTCAGGTCTCCTGCATTGCAGGTGGATTCTTTACCATCTGAGCCACAAGGGAAGCCCAACAATACTGGAGTGGCTAGCCTATCCCTTCTCCAGGGGATCTTTCTGACCCAGGAATTGAACCGTGGCCCCCTGCATTGCAGGCAGATTCTTTACCAGCTGAGCTACCAGAGGAGTCCTTTAAATGACTTACCAGCTAATAGTTTTACCCTGATTGACTGGTTGAGTTAACAGTCCGAGATGGAACCCGTGTTCTCTGTGTGGCTTTCACGCTAATGGCTCATGGGTGAGTGAGGTCTGGGTGCTGGGTCACATGATTCCCCTCTTGCCCCAAAGTGTCGGAGATTCTCATGGTGCTTTGTCTTAAGGGATTTGTGCTTGGATCATCCTGATGGGGCATGGGAACAAGGGTGGCCAGAGGGATCCCGGTGGTGGCCTCTGGAACAGGAATCCAGGGATTGGCCACCGCAGCTTGTGTCCCACCATTGATCTTTCTTGCTTTGTTGGAGCACACTTCTCTCAAGGGTACCTTCCCAGTTTGCTGTCCTCAGTTACAGGGTGTGTTCTGCCTTCTGGTGTTTCCCCAGCCTTGCCTGCCTCTTCTGCCCATTTTCAGCTGCCATCACCTCCTCAACCAATTTTAGTTAAACCCAATGGCTCAGCAAGTAAAGAATCTGCCTGCAAAGCAGGAGATGCAGGAGACGCGGGTTCAATTCCAGGGTTGAGAAGATCCCCTGGAGAAGGGCATGGCAACCCACTCCAGTATTCTTGCCAGGAAAATCTCATGGACATAGGAGCCTGGCAGGCTAAGGTCCATGGGGTCGCAAAGAGTCGGACACGACTAAGGGAATGAGCATGCACCCCCTACTGTGAAAGCAGGATGGATAGTAAGTAGTAGACTTCAGAGTCACTGCCTTCTATCATTCTTTACAACTCTTCCAGTGCCACGTCCTCTTTCTGTCTGGGAAATCATGCCCTTCCCCATTCCTAGTCCATGGGTTCTGATGAACCCTCTCTCAGGGGATCAACATGTAGTCAGACTTAAACCAGTTAAGAGTGTTCCTGGCCATAGTGCCTGGCACATGGTCCAGTTCACACTCCTCAGAGCCAGGAAGCTCATTCCTGGGACCTCAGATTAAGCAATTAGGCAAGTGGATTTGTTCTTGCTCACTGGACTGGAAACCTCAGAGGATGCAGGGACTAGAACTACGGCTACCACCTTGTTACCAAGTAGAACCCAGTGATGAAAGCTGCATATTAAAGTCAGGAAAAAGAGATGGAGAATAATGGGATCCTCTTGACACTATCTGAGCCCTTGAATGCAGCCATGCCTGAAACCAACCCTGCTTCCAGCAACACAAATACCTTTCTGACTCAAATACCTTTCTGTATGGCTGAAGCCAGTTGAGTTTTCTGTCCCTGTAACCAAGAGTCCAGACTTGTGCTCTGAGACTAGGACAAAGGATGTCCGCATTTGCTGAGCCTTCTTTTTTTTTTTAATATTTATTTACTTGGTTGCACTGGGTCTTAGTTGTGGCATGCAGGATCTTTAGTGGCAGCATGTGAACTCTTAGTTGTGGCATGTGGGATCTAGTTCCCTGAGCAGGGATCAAAACCAGGCCCCCTCCATTGGGAATGGAGTCTTAACCACTGGACCACTAGGGAAGTCCCTGCTGAGCCCTCTCAAGCCTGGGCTATGGCCCTGTTGTTTGCCAGGACACATTTGTTTTCCAATCACTGAGGGCATCCCAGGGCTCCTGGAAGTTTCTGCTTGCTACTCTCTGAGGGTGAAGACTGCAGGGTTAACTTCTCTAGGCAACTCTGCTCGCCCAGAAGCACAGTAACAGAATCTCTACTGACAGGCACTATGTAGAAGCAGGGCAGGAGCCCTTAGGGTCACCTGGGATATCTCTGAATAAAGTGGAGGTGGTCTAGAAGAGGAGTCCTGCTTTCACCACGACCGAGAATTGGGCCCCATCTGCAGAATGGTGGAGGAAGTAGAGACCCAAAGAGGGACCAGAGGTCAGTCAGCAATGCACATTTCCCAAAGGACCTAAGTCTCTGGCCACTGGTCTGGACAGCATCAGTCTCTCTCTGTGGCCTTGCCTCGGGCCATCTGGTCAACCATTGCCCTTTGGAGGACAGGGCCGGGGCAGCTCCCTCTAGCCTTATCACTGAGGAATTCAGGCAGACTTTGAACTTCCTCTTCTATATACTTCCCTATTCTAAACATCCTCATTATCCCCCTGAACTCCAGACACACAAAATTAGAAAATTCCCAGCTAGATACAGCCAAGTCTACTGGCCCCAGGGAAGGGATATAGCTAGTGTGTGGGATTCACAGAGAATCAGCAGTAGTGGTGGGCCTTTGAGGTTGTGTAAGAGTCTGATAATTAGAGGTGGAGTAAGGACATTCCAGAAAGTAGGAACAGAGTGTGCAGAAGCACAGAGGCAGGAAAATGCCTAACACAGTCATGTCTGCAAGAAGTCTGATGTGGCTTCAGTAAGGGGTGCTGGAAGCATCAGGAAACAAGTTTGGAGATGTGGACAGGGGCCGGGCCTCATCAGTCCCTGCCTGGACTAGTGCAGAAGCTTTCAGCCCCACCACCTGCAACCTGAGGGATCTTTGTAAACTGTGTCCTCATTCTCATTCTCCTGCATCAAATCTCTGATGGTCCTAGGAGTCAAAGCCCATATATCAAAATAGCATTCCAACCCTTCCAAACCCTACCACTGCCTACATCTCCTAACTTGTCTCCTGACACTTCATGGGGAGAGGAGAAAGTGGGGCTCAAAGTCAGTCCTACTTTGTTGTTTAGTTGTTCAGTTGTGTCTGACTCTTTTGCGACCCCATGGACTGTAGCCCACCAGGCTCTTCTGTCCATGGAATTCTCTAAGAATACTGGAGTGAGTTGCCATTTCCTTCTCCAGGGGATCTTCCTAGACTAGGAATCGAACCTGTATCTCCTGCTTGGAAGGTGGATTCTTTACCAGTGAACAACCTGGGAAGCTCTCACTTTGCAGTTGGGTTAAGATGAGAGTTTCAGGCCAGTCCAGTTCCCCAATACCTTCTCTGTGACAGGCATTCCTGAGCCCAGAAGGGACTCAGGCAAGAATGAAGAAGTCCCTAGCATCCCTTCAGTTCTGATCCTGTGTCTCCTGCCATTTTGTTGGCTGCATGTGGGAGGTAACTGCCTGGGATTTGGAGTATAGTCCTGAGTATCTAGCTGGGGGTCTGGATTAGCCATGTCTTGTTAATTCCACCTGCTCAGGCTGCCCCTTCTTGTCTATTTCCACTGAGGGGCTTGGGACAGAGCCTTGCTTTCTCCTCCCAATGGGGGCCCCCTGAGATCTGGGGTAAAGGCTGAGGTGGTAGGGCAAAGGGTGAAGATACTG